TAGTAGTAGTAGTAGTAGTCGTCGAGGAGGAGAAGCTACCAGCTGTGATACCAGTAGCCAAATATGTTTGCTCAGCTTTACGAAAACTGGAAGTGGATTTGTCCAGCAGTGTTCTTTTTCGTTGGAGTCCCTTCTTTCATTCTTTTGAAGAGTTACTCTAGCGGACTTTTTGTTCAACTCCTGAAGTCCCCGAAGCCTTAAAGCCCAAACCAAGACCATGTTCTGATCCGAGCAGAGCCAGGAATCTTGAGTCCCTGCACCTGCAGCACATGAAGGGGAAAAACTTTTGCCTTAAAGGCCTGGCAAAACTTCAAGAGCTGCTCTGCCTGAAACCCACCTAGATTCTCATGCTGTCGTGGGAACATCTGTTTTTGATGCTTAGAGCCTTCGGAGCTTTCAGGCAGAGTGGTGTGGTGCAGCTAAGGTTGTTTCTCACGGATCCTCAGCTGCAGGATTCGCACTGGAATCTTGATCTGCCCGAACTGCGACGTCTCAGCATGTCGAACCCTGGTTTCGCCTTCGTATGCTTTCTTGTGCCACGAACCATGATATGTTATATCTATGCCGGGGTTGGCTTTAAGGCTGCTTCTACTTCTTCTCTACACAAGTACGAAGATGTTTTGCAAAGCTACCTGGGAAAACAGAGACCCAGGAATCATGTCCCGCCGGTTGACAAGTTCGCCCAGTCACTGCTCCAGTGCCCCAAGATTGAGACTGCGACTGTGATTTGGTAGGTTGTCAAAACTGTGGTCCCTTGTGGGTACCCCAGATATTCTGGGCCGTAACGTAATGAGGGTCCAAAGAGAAACCATCATATGAACAAGCTACAAATTGGCCATGCGGCACTCTTTCAAATTCCTTGTGTCAGTTTTGGGTAGCCGGGAATCGGGTTTAGGCTTTAGGGACTCCTTTGTCGGTCGGATGTATCGGGACTTAAAATTCTGCACCTACTGTACCCACGGGTTTGATATTCTACTTCAGCTCGCAAACTTTGATTCGCATCACATGTCGTTGTAGCATCAGCGCTCAAAAAGCTACACAGGTTGATTGTCTCTTTAACCGGGGTTATAGGGGGGGGTATGAGTATATGATCCGGGATATGATATAGGGATCCTTACTATAAGATATAGGGAAAAGCGTTTACAGCGTAGTTCTTGACCCCTCCATCTTTAACTTCCGAACTAGACCCTAGGGTTTCGGGTTCCTAGAGCTGCAAACCACATGGGGTTTCCCAAGTTCGGAGCCCTTGCCTGGGAGATGAAGTAATCTCAGCGCTTTATCCCAGCTTTGGGTTCAAGTTCCATGTGTCTTGTCAGGTGGACTCTCCAGTATTCTACTTCTATATGTAGGCCCCTAAACTAAACCCCAAGCCTGAAATGGTGAAGTATCTATCAATGCTTATCCATGCCCGCGCTGCTATAACATGATTATATATAGCTTGTATAGCCCCTATTCAGGATGGGTTAGCTTGAGCCCCAAACAAGTCTTGATATAATCCCTCTTGTGATCCTCATTCCTTTCGCAACCGAGGCGGGTTTGCCGGGATTTTATGCATTCTGAAATCTGTCTGCCACATGTTTGCTGCAAAAGATTTACTTACACACATTTTTCAAAGTGCTGAAAATGTTCTTTTCAGTATTTTCTGAGGCTGCATAGGGCTATCTGGGTCCATGCTGGGGCCAATTGCGACTACCGACAAGGCTTGTTCGGAGATAGAAACTTTCGCCCTGATCAGGACGATCGTGCGCCAAGCCTGTGGCGATAAGCTCACTTGTTCTGCGCGTTTCGCGGCGTTCGCTGCGGCAGCCAGCTAAGCTTGACAAAAACATCTTCCGACGCATCGTATCCTGCATTCCGTTCCGGGGCGAAGCTTGGACCAATGGGACCGATCCTTGGACTAATGGGGCGATGTAAGTCAGAACTCCTCACCAGCTTGGACTAAAGGGGGTAGCTTGGACTAGGGGGACCGATCCTTGGACTGTTGGGCGAAGCTTGGACTGACTGGAAAAAGGCGTGACCCAATGGGGCGAAGATAACTCGGACGAAAGATGGGTTTTGGGCAAACCAACCCGTTTGAACTTTATTCCAGAATCCAGGAGATCTTTTATGCGCACAAATACTGGAACGACCACCCGCTCCCCGAGCTCTTCCTACCAAGCTGCCGTAGCTTATTGGTGCTTGAGATAGAGAGTGGGCTTATAGGGCTTGGGGCTAGGGCTTAGGGGGAGTGAAGATGGGGAATAGAATCTATTTCATAATTGAAGGTGGGTTACATGGGGACTGGATTCTTTTTGGCTTCCACTCTTCCATTCTCCTTTAAGCTCTCGACTGCAAGCAAGGTAGATTTACCTTTCGGCGAGGCGACTGCACTCGGCAGTTGAAGCTGTACTTGCCGCAGGTTGAAGAGCCTTATTCGCTGAGTGGGTGACCTGCAAAGCTTTTGGCGTAAAAACACATTGCATGTATTTGTATGGACTAAAAGGTGTTTACCATTTGGTGTATGAAGTTTTTTTTGTTGCGTGCAGGAAACTCGACAGCCAAGGAGCTTATACTTGATGCCAACTATGAGCCTGGACCTTGATATGAAGAGCTTTTCATTGTTTGGGGAGATTTGGTAGTTTCCCAAAATAAAGGAACCCCAATATAGAGCCCAAAATACTATAGCCCTTCTTATAGGGACCCTGAAAAGGTACCCCTAATTTTGGGAAACTCCCATTTATTGCGGATGCAGAACGACTGGCAGTGATGGGGATACCCTTTTTGAGGAAGAGTTTGTGCCTGCGGAAATTACGGATAATGGAATAAATCCTGCACCACTCGGCATACCTCAACTTCTGCAGGTTCCTACAGTTGGCGGTATATATGCTATGGTGCAAGATTTCCTTTTTGCCGTCTTTGCATATTTGCGATCAGAGCGAAGAGCATCGCTTTGTTTGAAAGGGTGTGCTCCAGGTGCTAGATGTTCGCTCCCAAACCTATCCCCGCTCCTGATACATGTGCTAGGTCCTTTGGAATATTCACACAACCCTACCATGTATCACAGAGTGCCAGATGTTAAGTAATCACCGTTCTGTAAGGTAAACAGCCCTGCATGATCTGGAAAAGCGCTGAAATAGTTTGGAAAGGCCGTTACCCATCTGAGGCATTTCAAGACCAACGCTTCATGTGAGCGAGCCTCTAGAATGAGGATTATATCATCTCGGGCCCCCACTTGTGACACATGCCTCATCTTGCACCAACGCTACCCTAAACCTTAGGTCATTCCCCTCCCAGTAAGCAGACTTCAAGAAGGGGCTATTATACGATCTAGTACCTCCCGCAGCAGCCGTACTTTAAGGGGGAATCACCTTCCCTAGGCCTTACACCTTAAACAATCCCTACAGACTCAGGAGCTGGAATCACTGGTTTTCTTGAAGCAAGGTCACCCTCGGCATGCAGCTTGGAATGTTGCGCCATCTGGACCTCAGTCCAAGTTCATCCTGTCCTCCGCGTTCTTCCTGGCAATCTCCTTTTTTTTGTGACGGTTTGAGTGTACGGTTTTGGTTCGGTGCATAAGTCTTCGAGTTAGCAATCATGGATGGAAGCATGATACTGTCCCCCTCTCCCCACGAAATAAACACGCCTTGAATATGTCATGCTAATGCCAGATTATTCAAGATTGTAGGACCGAGGGCTGGGTGAAATTTTCAGGGAGGAGATCATTCGGAGGCTCTAGATATGGAGGCTACCCAGGAAATGGGCGTCATAGCATCCTCACAAAATGCTAGTTAGGAGTCCTTCCAAGGAACCCTCAAGAGGTGGGCTCCCAGAAATGCCAGGTCCTGCGTGAACGCAAACCTGGGCAAGAAGGTCAAGCAAACACTGATCCAAAGTGGCCGTTTGCTGAACACACTGGCCGATGCCTTTGGTCCTGAGGATGACGAATTTGGCCAGGGACCCATGCATCTAAGCTATTCCGAAAAGCTGTCTTCTTTATCTGGGGATGGTTTCGGCTGGGTATTTTCAGAGCACGTGAGTTTTTGAGGCTGACAAGTCGAAGAGCAGAATCATGTCATGCCTGCACATGGAGGATTGAAAGCCTAGGTTTGGCATGGATGCATTTTGGAAACATGCCCGGCCGGGGTTGTTTCCTGATTGTGTCTTGGCCATCATTTAAGACGATTCAAGACTCGGTTGCGGCTCTCACGGAAAGAACCAATGTAGATCGAACACATCCTTTCCCGACCCCTGTGTCGAGTTTAGCTTGTGATAAGCTACTTTGTCGCAGCAATGGTCAATGCTAGTAAGGGAGGGTGCCAATAAAGACCCCCTAGCAGTTCCTTGACATCTGACCCAAAAAAGCAGATGGCCAAGGCCATGAGCACAAAGACAAGGCATTGTATTCAAAGTAGGCAAAGTGTTTGGTTACCTTGCGGCCCCAGGCTTCGAAGCTAAGCAGCCCTGGGCTTACCGGAAGTAGTAAGGGATTACAATAGTACCTCCCCCAAGGGTAACCCCCCCCAGGGTTTAAGGAGCTAATAAGGACTATAAGGCCTAATAGGGTTCTAAATCTGGGGGGGGGTACCCTAAATAAACCCTAAAACATAAACCCTATTGTAATCCCTTAAGTAGTGCACAGGTAACGGACCGGGAGAGGATGACTCAGACCCTCCAAGGGCTGTCCCTGCAGACCAGCAGAGCTCACGAGGCCGCAAACTCCGCATGAAAAAAAGTACCCACCTCCACACAATGTGGAGGTTTCCTAAAATTAGGGGTACCATTATTGGGGGTCTCTATAATCAGGATTATAGTATTTTGGGGTCTATATGGGAGTCCCCCTATTTAGGGAAATTACCGTATTTCTCCCTACAGACTTAATGGTATGTATTACATTGGGGGGGGGGGAGGGTGTTATCAGGGGGACTGTTATTAAAGTAGTGGAGGTGACTTTATGCCTGCAGAGATAAGGTGTTTTTTCGCGCAAGAGTGAAGAAGCACCAATAATGGTTGTTATTAAGGGAATATGGGAGTATAATCCCTATATAATCTCTGTACAATCCCTATATAACCCCTGTACAATCTATAATGTAGAAACACGTGGAAATGAACATGGAAACTGGGTTATACTGCAGGCTTCAGGTTCTTCAGTGCAGAAGATCGAATAAGTTCCAGGATCTTACGCTTCACATCCTTGTTTAAATAGCAGAATACAACCCCGAATCCTGTTCTAATCCACCATGTATAGGTACAATTATGTCAGGATCTTGTCTGATTCAGAAGAAGTGCTCCCTAAAATTCTAAGCTATAGTCTAAACTCCTTAAAAGGGGGTTCTATAGGGGATAATAATATCGGGCACGATGATAGCAGTTAAGAAGGGGGATGCTAGGAATGTAGACCATGGCTCAATTTGCCTACCAACAAGATCGGGACAAAATCTTCAGAGACTGGTGCGAGCGGCGCCTGTGGATTCCTGACTTTTACTGGTGGTTGGCTCGGAGTTCAGAAATGGCTCCCTACAGTAGCCCCTACGCCTTAAAGCTGAAGCCCTAAGCCGCAGATGCCCAGTCCTAGCTGTCCTAAAGCCTAAATCCCTAAACCCCAAATCTTAAATCTCTAAACACTAATCCTACAAGTTCTTGAGCTGCAAGGAGCCATGGCGCAAGGTGGTCAGCGCTCGGCTGATCAAGGCCCTGTTGGGAAAGCCGTCTGGGTCGCGCATCTGAGCCTCAGAAGACATGAGAATAGTCTTCCCAAAATCAGGGTTTAAGGTTAAGGGGCAGTCTTCCCAAATATTTGGGGGTTTCCCATAGTTATGTGTACCTTTGTTGGGGTCCTATAATCAGGACTATAGTATATGGGGGTCCCCCTACTTAACAAGGGAAACTACCATTTGTGGAAAGGTTGAATGTGAAGCAGACTGCAAGAATTGTTTTAGTATGATTTACGTGATGATTATTACGATCAATACTATTATTACGATTCTTACTGCTATCACTGTTATTTCTATTGTTACTGTTTTATTCTTGAGATTATCCCAAGCACTTGAACGCTTGAACGTTTTGAGTGCTATGCATAGCCCGCCAGTCAAAGATCAAAAGCTCTCGGGAGCCATCCTAAGAATTCATGTACTCGCCATCAAGAAGCTGGACCCTTATCAAGAGGAGTTGCAGATCATGTCAAGGGACATATGCGCGTGGAGGGGAGAGGGGCTTAGGGCTTGGGATCCTTGGCGCCTAGGTGATTTGTCAGATTTGCTGGCCGCAGAGAATCGAGTTGATTTTCTTGGAAACCCCAGGCATGAAGCCTTAGTGCATCTGAAGAGTGGCGTGCCAAGCTAACACTTTCTTGATCATCTGCGAAGGCCCTTTCATTATTACTGTTCTTCCTACTGTGGCTACATCATTCCAGTACTCGGATACTATTAATACTGTACTAGCTCAGTACAATGCTGTTTTATTGCTCTAATACACGTACCTTTAAACGTCATAAATGCTTCCCGAAATTGCAGTTTGAGGGGGTTCGAGGTGATATATGGGATTTAGGGTTGACATGGAGAATCAATGGAACAGAACATGCAAAATGGAATGGCACCTGGGGGGTTGTCAAAATTATGGCATTTTTCGGGGTGCCCCAAATGTTTGGGCGAGGTGTTGCAAGCCTCCCATGCTCGCTACATCGAGCTACCATCTAGATCCCTAGTATCCCCCTGAATAAACCCTATATTACTCCCCTATATAAGCCCCCTTTAAGGAGTTTAGACCTTAAACCCTAAACCCTATGCAACCCCTTCAAGGAGCTTAGATTCTATAGCCCATGTGAGGAAGAGTCGGCCAGAGCTCGTCGGCAGGAGTCGTCCTTTCGGGGGAGTCTGCAAAAAAGGGTTTAGGTTGGATACTGCCCCCAGTCAGTAACCATATTCATAATATAATTCTATACAGCCCTTAATAGGACTCCCAATATGAACTGTTACTGGGTGGGGGCAGTACCCAAGGTTTAGGGTTTAGGTTCTGGCAAGGGGGGCCTTGAAGACTAGGGTTCAACTCTAAACCTTCAGCCCCCAAACCGACACGTGTAATGAGGGTTTAGGGTCTAGGGTGTAGGGTTTTTAGGGTTCAGGGCTTTTAAATGTCTAGGGTTTAGTGTTTTTATGGAATTTTTAGGGTTTGGTTTGTTTGGGTTTTGGGTTTTGAGGGTCTAGGGTTTAGGGTGTTTAGGGTTTAGGGTTTAGGGGCTTCAGGGTCAGAAGCGGCCAGGAGCGGAGTCATCGTCCAGCAGTTTGCAGCCGGTCGTGTCGGAGTGCGTTTCGACCACGATAAGACGTTGGGCAGCTCTTAAGTACTCGATTTTTTTGCGTTTAGGAGTTACCGGGACACTGAATATCCTAACTTGTTGTACAGAAATGGAGCGGAACACCGAAAATGAAGGACGTTCAGGGTCCAGGTAGGGTTAGGCTTTGGTGGGTTCAAAGCTTGATTGCCAATCCATTGATTGCTTCTTGGACGTAAGAGTGTACAGATTCAGATTTTGTTCTTCTCACGTGCAGTGGGGTCTGGGGACCACTCGCTCAGCTTTCTCATTTTAATGCTCAGATGCTCGTGATTTGGGACCTCCATGTACATACTAAATCCTAAACTAGGGACCAGTAGCTCTGCAAAGTTTCCCTTGCGAATGGATTGTCGTGGGGAAATTGTCTGGCAAGTGTTCGGGTTAGGTCCTCAGATTATTAGGCCCCAACTATCCCATAGCAAGGCACTCCATTTGGGTTTAGGCAATATCGTAGTGCAGATTTGGGGTAGGTATAAAGTTATTAAGTACTTGGAGCCTTGGGGTTCAAACGGCATGTTCATGCAGAATTACTCATGTGTTGATCGCCTCCCCACACACTCCGCATATCTTGGAGACGCACAGGGTAGCCTACCTTCCTTGAGCAATGCACGCAGGAAGCAATAACACCAGGGCCCCCAATATGGATCTTCTTTCGAAAGCCCATGCGTCTGTAGTGGGGGCATGTTTTTAGGAGACTGGATTTGCAAGAGCAGGAAGCGGATGTGCTGTTCCATTACCTAGTTCCTGACATGTTCAAAAATGCCGTCACGTGGTTTGCTTATAAGTCACCTTGACAAAGGTGAGGGAGATGATGAGAACTAGCGCCCGGCTTTATACCCAAAACCGTGATGATCTTGGTCCCAGGACATTGGAACTGTCTGTGAAGATGGAGAACTTGGAGTTCCTTCCAGATGGGTTGGATCAAGTCGACTAATCCGCTCCCCCTTCACCAACACTAGAATACCGTACTGATAGCTGAACGTTAACCTCCCCGTAACGGTACACTCCGACCCGTACTAACAGTATTACTCTTGCATTTGCATGCTTATGCATAAGTATGGAGAGACAGTTTGGAGCATGGGGGAGATGGTTACTGAAGGGGGAACGGGTTGCGGACCCTGCGGAACTCGCGAAGAAAAGTGCTTCTTTTCTCCTGCTCAAGGGCTTGCGGCTTGATGCAACCTCAAAGAAGGGCTCAACCTTTGGATTTGGGCTTGGGGCTTCGGGTGGGTCTTCTCTGTTTGTGGACCCTTGGAGATTGTCATGCTTGAGTAGAGTCTCCCCAACACGGCTGCCACTGTTGCAGTAGGGTTGCAACCCCTAACTCGCCAAGATTCCTTAAAGCTCGTGTACTCGTGTATTTGACAACCCCAGTAGCCTGTAGGCAGCAGGTCCAAACGCAACTGCCCTGCAACAGCCTCACACCTGGAGCACCCTGCCACTGCAGAAGGAGGTGACGCAAATTGAGTACATGGTACTAGTACCTTACTAGTCGCCTGAAGTTCTTCTCTTCATTAGCTCAGTTCTCATCCCCAAAAAGAAATCTTGCAAGAGTTATGTCTCACGCTTCTGAAGGGTTTTAGTCGCCATAGTACACTGGGAGTATACCCTCAGAGGGCATTTGATCTCGGCTCAGGTGATTACTACCGCTCGGATGGACTGATTTCTGGCCACGCCTACGCGGTTCTGGATGCCAGAGAGGTCATTTTACGGATTGTCCTTGGGCTCATCTTGGATTTGGAATTACATGGTAACCAGCTTCAATTTGCGCAGTTTTACTGTGCAGTGTTTGGGAGGTGTGCTTTCCTTGAGCACGGAATGTCCAAAACAAAAAGCCATAAAGTAAAGAAACCCCAGGCAAACTTGTTTGCTTGGCCGGGGGGGGTCTTGTGTCAAGGCTGTATATAGGCTTTCCTTCACATAGCTGCCAAGTACCTAAGCACAACAGACCGTGTTCTGATGTCCTGAGACAACCCTACGCCTTGAAGCCACTGATATCTTGACAGCAGGCGGCCTTTGTTGACAAGTGCGCTATGCATCCTGCGTTTGTTCCCGCTGTTTTGGGCCCGGGGCATGTGCTTAGGCTATTCTGACTTCCGCCTAGATTAATGCATTCGTGCAGAATTTGAGGAAGACATCTCGTGAACAAGCAGGCTTTTACAACCGCTTGTTTCAAGGGGGCTCCTATCACCAAGGACTCTTCAAGAGCCCAGATGCCAATGAAGGTAGACTGACGTGACAGAGCAAAGGAATCATGGGCATGTGTGTAGCAGGGTGCTCGTGTGGGCCAGATAGTGACACAAAGCTCCATTACCTAGACCTTCAAACTATAGAGTACCTAGACCCCCCACGTATGTAGAATGAAGATAAGAATGACAACAGGAAAGTCATATGCAGTTCCAAGCTACCTGTCAGCCTCTGCCAGCATCCTAGGATCAGGGGCGCAGGAACGTGCCTGTCCGCCTGATTGCTCTGAAGCTAGGCTTTTAAGGTCTTGGCTGTAAACCGCGTTGAGGCTTATAAAGTGGAAGCCTATGAGACTTAGGTGGCGAAGTATCAAAGATACCCACAGGGAGCATGTGCAACAACTCATGCCATTGAAAGGTAGTTTTTGAGAGACCTAGGGGCAAGGATGCAGCGAGTGCTCAGCAGTTGGGATTCAGCTTCTAGCGGAGAGATTTCCTGTATGTTGGTGTTTTCGCGTGCTCTACAGGATGGGATTGTGGTCAAGACTCATGGAACCCCACATAGGCTCCTTCTAGATGGACGGGGGGTTGGTATCCATATGGCCCCTTAGTAAGTTTCCCTGTTAGTTTGCGCGGGCATATTGTCACCTGACCCCCGAGAAATCAGGCCCTGGGGGCGCGTAGCACAGGTACCTCATATACCTCCTCAACTCGGTCACTGTTGCGTGCGCCTTTGAAATTTAAGATATCTTTTGCGCTAACCTACACTTAGGACTGTATAACCCACCGGCAACACATGTGGGTTGCACTTGCAAAGCTGTATAATTCCGATCCTGAAAACGGAGACAGGTTCCCGCACAGTGCTTCTGACCTCATGTTATCCATGCTCACGACTTGACTCCCGAGATCTTGGGCCCTTGGGCGCGTGCGGATAGCCAGCTAACGTCCTACAGTCTCTTAGAACTATCCAAGTGGCACTTTGGGATAGTTAGCAATCTCCCTTATTGTTGCAGAAAGGAACCAACCCTAAACCTATTCATAAATAGTTTTGGTGGCCTTCGAGGTACCACCCAGCCGTTGTTTTATAGAATGCTGTTGCTTCGTAATATGGTAGTTCCCCTTTAGGGGACCCCAATATAGACCCCAAAAAACTATTCTCCTCATTGTGGGGACCCCCAAATGGCACCCCATTTTTTGGAAAATGCCATATGCCTTCCTCGAGAAAACCAAGGAAGAACCCCCATGGCGATTGGAAAGCCGAAGGAGGCCTATTTCGAACGTTTGCTTAGAGCGACAATGGGTTCTTCACAAGCCGGATTATAATAAAAGGATGTTGGTAACCCCAACCCGCAAAATTAAGACCCTATGACTATCATATGATGGTCATAGGGTCCAAATTTTGGGGGTTGGAGTTACCAAAGCCTCCTTATTGGATTAGTTTCCAAGAATCGAGAATCAAATGGAAAAGGAGATGGTAAGATAAATGGAAGCTACTACGGGCATTGGAATTTCGGGGTAAGAGGACAATGTAACGGAACGAAAAAGAAAAGTGACATGGAACTTGTGATTAGATTGGGTTCTATGGTGTTTCCACCTGACTCGGTACCAACTATTGCGGTATGATCCTTATATGATGAAAGTACGCGGGCTTTGCCCTCAAACTCTTTTCCAAGTCTCGGGGCCCTTACATTATTAGTGTGCATGGGTGTCGGGGTGTAGGTTTTGGAAACTAGGGGGTTGAGTTTTATGTGTTTCAGCTTTAGACGCCCCCCCACGCCGGCAGTTTCGGAACCACAGGGCTCGGGACCTTTTTTCCATGAAGATGCAATGTGCCATGCGGTCGCTACGACTCAATTGGTCAGGACTTTAGAGGATTGTCTTGCCCAAGGATGTTTCGGGGCAAGGTTGCATCGGCTGCTCGTGTGGCCGCACGCAGTGTTCCGGAATTGTCCTCAGCAATCGCATATCTGATCTGCTTCAAATGCTCGCATTCCATCATGTATTTTGAAGCCATCCATCTTTTGTTTTGTTGTAGGGAGCTTCTCAAAGTTAGTGTCTCCACATGGAATCAGCAAGTTGGATGCGCTGTGAACCTTCCCGTTAAATTCGTGCATTTGAGCCTGATTCACGCGTTGACCCCGTAATCCGGCCTTGCACATGTCGGGTGTGGACCCAGAGCCCACTACAAGCCTAAGCCCCAAGCCCTGAGGTGGGAGTCAGAACTTAGAACAAAATCTGTGTCAGCCTCAGAGCCCGTCTAGTCTCCAGACATATCGCTGGGGTCTCCGCATTGTTTTTTTGCCTCAAGTCAGAGCCCTTGCCACCCAGATATCCCTGGGTGAATCTGAAGCTACTCCCATATAAACCCGGGTTAACCGCTTTGCAATCCCCGTATAATTCTCGTGTTGCGCGTTCCCTCCGGGGACCTTATCTTTACATCTCTTCCCTTCGGGGGGTCCGGGCAGGCACCTTCTCTTCGACTTGGCTGGGCGAGTGGGGCCACCAGTCTTCACGGTGGCAGCGGCACCCAGAGGCGCAAGGGGCTCCGCTAAATTCCGTGGATCTCGGTGAGGGTCGAGGGCTTGGGGCTTAGGCTGAGGATCTAAGCCCTAAACTCATCTAACATCTAGCGATTTTGTTTGGGTCAGGGTTGAGCTTTTGCGTTGAAGTTTTTGGCCCAGGGCTTAGAGCATTTGGTCCAGGACATAGGGCTCAGGGTATTTGCATCTTTGTGTGTGTGATCCCATGGATAAGGGATCGCGCCAGTCATCCGTCTGAGACATAAGTCTGAAACCTGAATACCTTGCAGGGGTTGGATGGTGATGATTATCATTGCTATTGTTACGAGAATTGTTATTCTACTATTCTTTCAATTTCTACTACCATTACAACTATTACTATTATTACTTTTTTTGCTGCTACTACAACTATTACTATTATTACTGGTATCAGCACTCTTACTATTAGTACTATTGCTCTGATTATTGTTATTAATTCGTGCGAGGCGTGTCAGCTGCAAGAGGCAGAGAGCAGATAAATGGTTGCCCCTGAAAAAATTAATACGAATGGAGACGCTTCCCGAAGCTTATACAGTCTACGTGTAGGGCTTAGGATTTAGGATTTATAGGGTTTAGGGTTGCAAGCTTCTGAGCCCAAAAAGCGTGACGTACCTAAAGCTTAGTCATCATGATTGGGGGACATTGCCTCACCAAGGGGGCTTGGGTTTGCCGAAAAGGCTTGTACCATGGCAATTTGGCCGTCTGCTTTGTAGAATATTATTGGGTTTTAGGGTCTAGGGTTGAAAAGCGCAATGCTTGAGAATTGTGTGTGAACGACCGCAGCAGAGCCCCTCCTTTATTCCGTTCAGAGGTATATATGTGCAGCCCTATATAACCCTTATATAACCCCTGTATAACCTTAACCCTATATAAGCAAGACTGAAAACTTCCACTTGTTTGCCACTTACACCAGGCCCTACAACCTTATAGCCTCCCTTAAGTAGATAGAATATGGGATACATGGGGATCTTATTATAAATGCCCAAAGCCTATTCTATCTACTTAAGAGGGGCTATAACCCCCCATATACCCTATTATACTATAGTAGTTTCCATTTTCTTTTCCATTATCCCTATATAACCCGCAATAATATACCCCTTTTTCTGTCTACTTAAGGGGACTTTAAGCCTCCACATCCGAACCCGAACCTTGATCCCACTATCTTGTTCAGATGCAGCCGTCCCAAGAACAGGGATTCCCTTGTCACACTTGGGGGTTTCTAAAAAAGACTCTAGTATATTTTTAGGTATATTTGGGTCTCCTGTTTTGGGCAACTACCACTTCTCGGCTCTTAAGGTTGTGTAGAAACTGGGTTCAATGCGTAGGATTATGTGCCAAAAGGTTGGGGTTTTCAATTCTGTGCGCCACTTGTGAAGTACCAATACCGTGGACTTCACGACTATTTAGTAAAGATAACGACTAGTGAAGATAGCACAACTATGCCCTACTATGCCTACCTAGACTTTCGGGTAGCCCCAATTTTTGAGGGCCCCTTCCCAGTTCGCTCTGTGGAAGGTGATTCAGCAGCTTGCCTCTCGCTTGCATGTCGTCTTGCAAGGTGCCTCCGTCTTTCATCCTACTGGGTTGCTCTTAGGGAACTGAGAATAAGATGCGATTGGTAGGAAATCGTCGTACTTCCTGCTCGTTCATGTTATGGTGACTTCGTTGAAGTTCCGTTTAACCACCCAATTTGTTCACTAAAAAGCCAACAACGAGCAGCAACAATTGGAACTTCAATGGTTTCAAATGAGGAACAGCAAGCATACCACCAATGCAGCCACGATTTTCTACTTGTGCATACATTTAGGCCATTTCGACGGGCAGACACCCCCCCAGTCTCTACATGCATTTCATGTCCATAATCCGCGTTAGGCAACTCCTACGATGCCTCGTCACGATCTATTCCTTCAATCATGTTCCCCGAATACCGACTTCTCCGAGATTAAGCCTGCTGTCGCCTGATTTCCCAAATTTGTACATCGCTTTCGGAATTTGCACAGTCTGTTCCACGTGCTTTGAAAGAGAAAAGCGTTTGATGCCAGCGCATGCCCATTACCCTAAACCCAAATCAAGCTTTCGCCCTAAATGCTAGCCAAGCCTAACCCGTAATCAACCCTAGACCCCAGATTCTAATCCCCCCTTAGCCATGGGCACATAACTAAGCAACCTCAATCTCAATCATTCCGAATCCCTAAATTCAACCTTAATCAGCCCATGAAAAGCTAACCCTGCCAGCCAAGGATGTCGCAGGTGCCGTCGTCACCGTCAGCCCGAAGCATGGAGGCTGGAGGGTTCAGCTCTTCACAAATAGGATGCCTACTTGTAAGCTCAAATTAAATACATATCATACACAGAGAAACTGATACTTGCTGACGCTTAAACCAGAGTCCCAGAACTAACAGACAGCCAACTTGGTAGCACCTAAGCCCTAAACCCCATATAACCCATTTTTGTAGTTTCCATTTTTCCATTATCCCTAAACAATCCCTATATTCACCCCTATAGGTTTTCTTTAGGGCTTATCCGCGCCTTGCTTTTCGTGGGACGTAGTGACCTCTTGTCTTTTGCAAAGATCATATATAGGGATTATATAGGGTTTCTAGTGTATAATGTTGGGGTTATATGGGAATAATGGAAAATGGAGACTATTATATATATATATGTATAATGTCATGGCTGCTTGCCACGCCGAGCTCGGGCACCCAAAACGTGTCCGTTTGGGCCCTGAGAGCTTGGACCATGAGCCCAAAAGTTGAGCCTACCCATGGCTCTTTCAGTTGTATGATGGCTTCCACGATATTATATATATATATATACATCGTAGTTCACATTTGCTTTTCCGATATTCCCATATAACCCCAATATTATACCCTATAACCCCTATATAATCCGCATATATGATTGAAAAAAGCTTTGCTTACCGGCCTTAGCTGTGTTTACGTGGGGAGGCTTTTCAGGCTGCTTTCTGCGTACCGAACTTGTCAGATCTCTACTCCAACCTAGGCCTCCAGTCACACACCACAGATAGGTTTGAGCCCCAAAGCACACCAATTCAGCTCACTCAAAGAAGCGAAGGAAATAATAAAGCTTTGACTAAGCCTGACAAGTTTAAGTTGCCATATCAAGGAAGCTACTACATATCATAGGTCCATAGGTCCATACTAGGATAGCTTTTTAAGTTCCCAACCGCAGCCCTATCTTCTGGGAAGGAAACAGCCCGGTGAGCCCTTTCCAAAGTTCTTTCCTGGCGGTCCAAAGCTCTGTTTCTGGGCAAAGTTCTGAAGGGGTTTGTTGTTTGGAGGTGTTCGATTTGGCAATTTCCTTAAATAGGTGGAACCCAATATAGACCCCATAATACTATATTCCTCATTATGAGGACCCGCAAAGCCTAGGTTCGGGAAACCCCCATTTGGCTCCCCTAAAGCCCTAAACTAAGCCCTTGGAATCCCAAGGTGTGTTTTGGGTGGGTTTTGTTTCCTCCATGCGGTGCAATCATGGGTGTCAGGTAGGTCCGCAAGAGTCCCGAAACCTTAAACCCCAAACCCTAAACCCTAAACCTGTTTGCGAATCCCTGGCTTCAATTTTAATCCATTTTGAAGGAGTTGTTATTGATGTTGCGGTTGTCCCATTCTGGGGGCCCTGGGCCCTTGTCATCTTGACCCTGACCCAGACCCCTGAGAGCATCTAGAAAGTAGAACCCCTAACATGGCACCCTAAACTACTAATCAGTAATTTCTAGGAACCCTTAAGGGGGGGATCTACTTTCTAGATCCTACCCTAAACCCTAAAGCTTAAGCCCGAAGTCCTAAACCCTAAACCCTAAACCCTAAACCTTAACCCCTAAACCCTAAAGCCGAGGAGTCGTGCTTCTGGATGCCGTGGGACGAGTTCAAGGTGACTTTCGACAAGCTGTGCGTGTGCCCAAAGCCAACCAGCCGCTTCCCTAAGGGGAAGATACCCATAAGGGGATAGGGTTTAGGGATAGGTATAGGGCTTGGGGTTGAAGGATTTGGGGTTAGGGTTTAGGGGCTTTCCAAAATTCGTAGTATTTTTTGGGGGGCACCTCCTAATGACCTGTAATTATATTGATTATTGTTTTTTTGGGGGGGTCTGTGAGTATTTGGGTCGCTCTGTTTATGGAGACTACTTAGTCTACTTTTCTCACATCCTAGAATCCAAGTCTTAGTCTCAAAGCTACGGGATAGTCCTTCTGAATCCTGTACCCTACCCCAAGCCAAAGAGTCTAGGTGTCATATGATGGTCTGGGTAAGTAGCCGGGAACATCTACCCCAATACATCTGCATCTATAACCCCTTCTGTGCAAACGCGCAGGAACGGACTCCTACCCTACGTATCCCTAGAATGTCCCGATACTATCCCCATATAAACCCCTATAGAACCCTATCTATCTCATGTGACCCTACCATCCCTTTTTGTTACCCCAAGGTTCAGAGGTCGAGAGCGGGCCATCGACAATTCCGCTCCGCAGGGGGCCGGAAGCAGAGCTTGAGACTTAACTGCATCAAGGGGTGATAGGGATCATATGGGACATATAGGGTTACATGGGGAGATCTCACGCCGGGTTATATGGGAGCAGCATTGGGGCATTCTAGGGTCAAAGATTGGAAATGTGTGTGCTTTTAAATTCTGCCTGTGCATATTCCCACGAAGAAAACTCAACTACATCTTCTGAAGTTTCAGTTTATTGGAAGCCGATAAAGAATCTAAAGCTATGATTTTTTTGAAGCCTGGGCTTTAGAGCTTAAGCGGTCATGCTTCAAGGCGTAAAGCTTCGGCAGTTTGAGGTGTGAGAAGTTAAGGGTTCCTTGAGTCGTGTGTATGCTTTCAGTATATGGAGGTGAGGTTGTGACTGATGGGATTCCAGGGGCAGGGGCTTGAGATGTATTGCAACCTTTATGCAACAAACAGCAATGGTGCGCCGGTGGTGACGTATGACGTACCCAGATATCGTCACTGAGTAATCAGCACATTTAGAGTCTGGGCTGAAGGTTGAGAGGGCTTTGGGGCAGTTTGGGGTAGGAGCTTGTAACTGCTGGCCACCTTGATGCCCCAAATGCCTGACTCCTAAGGGGAACGCAGCTGGGAAAATTAGCTGCCGGGAAGTTCCGGCACCCATGTCTCCCTTCTGGGCATATAACTTGAGTTCGAAAGCCAACTAGGAACGGACCAGTCATAGTTGATAACAGCCACAAGCAAACAATAACAACACTGATGACGATAGCAATACTATGAACAGGATAAGGTAGGTGGACCTCCACCCAGTAATAGTGGTTAGGCTCCTCTCATATTCCTATTATACCACTATTACAGGGTGGGGTGTCCACCTAAAGTGTAGCAGTAATGGTACAGACACTCTAAACTCCAGGATCTCTGCTTGAGCCTTACGAAGATGGCCCCGGTTCCACTGCGCAGCCCGGCTTCGGTAAGTCAGCGCTTACACAGTGATGGGTGGTTGTCAAAATTATGGTCTCTTTTTGGGTACCCTAAATATTAGGTGCCGTATTATAATAGGGACCCAAAAAGGGACCATAATTTTGACATCCACCCTGATAGGCTTGAACATGTTTCTGATGTTTGTTACCTTTACCTCCTATAGAATCTGTATAACACCATGGGAATTTTCATTTCTATAGGTCCCCCAAACCTACCTTAGTACAGGGTTGGGGTTTCAGTGTTTGAGCAGGGTTTCTTGCGGAAGATAGTTCCCCGACACTGCCTGAGAGAGTTCTGCAGCTTTTGAAGATGTTTTTGTAACAAGCAGCTGGCGTATTGAGTGCTGAAATCAGCTTTCTAATCTACTATGCCCAGCTCCACTTTATCCGGAACGTTGTTACATGGATAGATAATCTATGATAACCTAGAGTTCGTAGTCAATGGAAACATTGACCCTCCGAAGCCCTTGCGCCCAGAATCATCCAGCGCGTTTGTAGCAACCAGGGTTCAGGACATGTTTCCTGATATGGTCATCGTAAGCATGATGTGGCAGATGCCATGTTCACGGCATTGCAGATGCAAAAGGCGTCGAGAAACATGTTGTTTCCCCAAAGGGTGGCTTAGAAAGGGAGCTACAGACCATCCTTGCTGAAGCGCGCAGCAAGTGATGATTTAAAACAAGGTGTCGATCATGAGTGAAAAACGCTCATATCCTCATGTTAAGGGGTGCCCGTATGCTATGCTATGGGGGCTACAATGCTCTCGCTGTGCGGATCTGTGGGACATGGACTGGCGCCCTCAGTCCTCAATGTGAGGGACTGCAGACCAAGGGCATATAGTTGTGTAGAGTAGTAAGTGGGCCAGCCAGCCAGGCTTGGAGAGTCTTCTGCTGAGCTGTGAGAGAGGTTATCACAAAGCCCGTGAGTGTTCCACTCGCGTCTTCTCCTTCTCACACAGGACGCGCAGACTGATGCTGTCTTGCTTGTACCAACCCTAAGCAGGAGTTGGGAGTTGTCCGTCCTATGGGGCCCATTTTACGAGCCTCTAGCATGGCAGACATATTCATTCCAATTTTCTCTTGTACCAGGAGGAGAGTGTCCACATCCTGAACTCCTATGACGCCAAACTGGTAGCCCCCTTACACCGTAAGCTTAAAACCATCTTGATCCCCAAGCTCCCAAAAAATCCTAGCTCTCCGGGTACTCTAAACTAAAAACCCCAGATCCCAAACCCCAACCCTACACCACGAACCCCCAAACCCGAAGCCCTAAAGCGTGTGCAGTTCCCATCAAGCTGAGGTCGCGAGCTTCGCCAGGCGGGGGTTCCTTGTAGTCCGGTATTTCAGGTAGTTCTCCAGATAGGCAAGAAACTAAGAAACCCTAGTTTCCTTCAGAATGCCTTTCTACGGGTTCTTGGTAGGAGTCTGTCCTATTTGGGGGTCCCCAAGGGATCTACGCTTGTATTTGGGTCCCGTTTCAAGGGTCTACATGCGGCTCGCAGAAACAGCATACAAGGATGGAAAAGTTTGCGCGACTGGCTCAACATTCAACACGCTTCGGAGTTTAGGGGTTTGGGCGGTCAGAGTCAGAGGTTTGCTTGAGCAAAAGTTGAAAACCATTTTGTTCGTGGAGTCTGCTGGGGAGGACTTTTTGTGCGTTGGTTTGAGGGGGACCCGTGTTTATTTCGGTCTTCTCTGTTTCTGGCCTGGTGATTTGACAAGTCATGTTATGTCCCAACAGGCTGAGCATGGTCCGCTGCAGTAGTCCTGGTACCATATACGACCTACGTCAAGCGGCTTCTACGGCTCGACGGGTACCTGTAATAGCACCCAATTGAGTAAACACACTTTGGACAGCTTTTACTTCGAGCCCCTGATTTAATAAGCCCATAACCAAATCCTACCCTGAACCCTATGCGGCCCCTTACAGGTCACAGTAACCTTCGACCCCTACGTGACAATGCCCAAGTTCCTGGAGGATGGAACTTTGGAGACGCGGCTCAGGCAAGCCCTTTTGCCATGACAGACTTGCCAGGCATGGAATCCCACAGGGGCTCCTTGTAAGAAGGCGGTCCTCTTCAGAATGCCCGTTTTAGGTTCCCATGCTAGTTTGGGGGAGGGTAGTTTAAGGCAAACTGCGATGCAGCCTGTTCATGCCAAATTCATGATCTTCATTGTGGTTTCAACATAGTGAAGGGCGATCTTCATCGCGCTTGTTACCCTGAGGCGTGTGCACCGTCGTTGATGCATGTTCCCTTGTTCATACGGGAGACTGATGGCTGTGGATATATGTGCCCAACCGCACTGTAAATAAAAGGAAGGTGGTTACGACAAGGCCTATTGATTTTGAGAAACCCTCACGGCCACCAGCGGCACACAACTAAGAAACGCCTTGGCTACAATGGGTAGAGTGTTATGAGGGACTGCAGAAGCAAGGTAGGTGGTCGCAATCATTTGATTTCAGGTTGTTTCCCATGTTACATGAGCTCTAGCCTAAACTCCTATAAGGGGAGGAAGATAGGGGATTGTAGAGGGGAGTATTTTAGGGGTTATTAAGGGGGATACCAGGAGTTCAGACTGTAGCTCGAATATGTGGGCATAGCACCAAGATATCCTATGAGTTACTGCATGCGGCATGGTGTCTTACTAGATGCGCATGTGCAAATGCATGCGTATATGAATATATACAGTATCTGAATGCATCCATCTCCACGTCTTGCTTCAATGCTTTCAAAGCATCTTACCACTCTCTTTGTGCTGCCTGAAAGACTAGGTACCCCAGTAGTACCCTTTCTCCCTTTTTATTTGGGGTCTCCGTATTAAAAGCTGAATATCAGGAAAAAGGCTACCCATATTATTCAGTGGTTACTGGGGAACCTAGAAGAAGGCTACTTCAGTCAGGTGGGAGGCCTCGAAACCCGGGCATCTCCAGCAGCTGCTAGAAGCCAACAAGAGCCTGGGCGGTTGAGGGTTTATAGTCCCCCTGAAGTAGATAGAGTATGGGTTATATAGGGATAATGGAAAAGAAAACGGAAACTACTATTCAGGGATTAGGATTCAGGGATAGAATATGGGGTATATGGGGATCTTATTATAATATACCCCAAAGCCGTATTCTATCTACTTAAGGGGGACTATAGGGTTCAGGCACTTAAGGGTTCAGGATTCAGGCAGGTTGTTGGTAGAACATTTGGCCTAGGCTAGGGAACTCAGCCACTGGATTGGGTTAGAGGCTGTACAGATGTCATTGCAGACAGCTGGTTTCGGGCCAAAGCCTGTAAGCCCTAAACCGGATTGTCTTGAAGGCTTTGAGACGTCATGGGGTGTTTTTTTGGAAATGTGGGCTTGCGTGGGGAATTCTGCACGGCTCAGTTTATAAGCCATGAACCTCCATTGTTTGTCATGGTTTCTATTGGGCCCCTAATTGTTTGAGTGTAGTTGGGTTCGAGATTAAGGATCAAGATCTACAGGGAATCTGGGGTCAAGTGGGCAGAGTTTGGTTGTCAAGTTGCAAAATGCCATGCTAGGCCCTGCCTACACTGCTGTTATGATTACAACTATTGTGCTTTTCTTATCATTATTGATATTGGCTCCGCCGGAGCGTAAACGCGCAAAACATGCACACCTGGCCGACCTCTCCGGATGTGGCCTGCATGGCACGAACCACACATTCGAAGTGTTTCCGGGGCCCGAAATACTGCGTATACCACGCATCGCGTTTTTCAAGGAAGAGCGAACGCGAATGCCAAAGCATCCATGCCCAA